ACCTCCACCTCTAGCTGGCTGAGCGGGCGGTGGAACACTCGGTGCCTGAACCATGGCACGGGAATCCTGATGCTGAGATGTACTCGGTGCTCGAGGGCAAAACCTAGCAATATGCCTCGTATCACCACAAGTATAACAAGCCCTCAGCTGCAGAGGTTGATGTCCCTAACGACTTGAATAACCACTCTAAAAACTCTAGAGTGGAGGTGCACTGATAGAAACTGGCGGTGCACTGTAGGGCAACTGATCTGAATACTGTATATGAGAACCACGGCCACCTGGAGCACCGTGAGAAGCCTGAAGTGCTGAATGAAACGGCCTGGAAGGATGGCCCCTACTAAAAAAATCTCTGCCTCCAGATGAGGCACCACTGAACCTGCTCGAATGACGAGGCCTCTTGTTAGACCCCTGACCACTCCCCTGTGATAGAACCATCTCAACCCTACTGGCCACATTGGCCGCATCCTGAAAGGAAATCTCACTCCCTGTCTCCTTAGCCATATGTAATCGAATAGGCTGAACGAGTCCCTCAATGAACCTTATCACTCTCTCTCTCTCTCTCAGTGGGAAGTATAAGAAGAGCATGACGGGCCAAGTCGATAAATCTGGTCTCGTACTGAGTGACAGTCATAAAACCCTGCTGGAGACGCTCAAACTGCCTCTGATAGTTCTCCCTCTGAGTGATAGGAAGAAACTCCTCTAGAAATAGCTGAGAGAATTAATCCAAAGTCAAAGCTGGTGACCCGGCTGGTCTAGCCAAACAATAATCTCTCCACCAAGTCTTGGCGGACCTAGACAAACGAAAAGATCAAAGTCGACCCCATTGGTCTCCACTATCCCCATGTTCCGAAAAACCTCATGACAGCTGTCCAAATAATCCTAGGGATCCTCAGAAGATGTACCAAAAAAGTAGTAGAAAAAACCTTGGTGAACCTGTCCAATCTCCACAAGGCATCTGAAAGTGTAGTTGATCCATCACCGGTCTGAGCTGCCGCTTGGCTGAAGAAGCGATACGTGATCTCGCCATCCGTGAAAGAATAAGAGTAGAGGGTTCAATTTAATAGTGAGAGAACAAAATCGCATGACAGAGAAGAATAGATGTGAAGTTTTTCCTAACTCTGTAGCCTCTAGGGATAAATACAGATGTCTCTGTACCGATCCCTCAGACTCTACTAAGCTTGTCCGTGAGTTATGAGACCTAAGCAACCTAGAGCTCTAATACCAACTTGTCACGATCTGGATTTTCCACCCTCGGAAGTCGTGATGGCGCCTACTAGTGAAAGCTAGGCAAGCCGATTATTCCAATTATTTAACCTTTTTTACATTTTTAATCCCTTAACAATTGCGAGTTAACATTTTATAAACAGCAGAAATAATAAAGCGGAAGAATGAAATTTAACAACTTAAGCTAATACTGATACAACTCTATAACATAAGCCACCCAGAACTGGTGTCACAATTTCACGGACTGTCTAAGAAAACTACAAATAAGGTCTGAACAAGAAGGTACATGTCTGTCTTTGAAATATAAAAGAACAGAAAGAAACTAGATGGGGAGGGGGACACCAGGCCTGCGGACGCCTGCAAGTCCAACTCGGGTCTCCCGATGGACTAAAGGCAGCAACCCCTAGCTAAGGTCTGTATGCTCCAGTACCGAGATCTGCACACAGTGCAGAGTGTAGTATCAGCACAACCCACCCCATGTGCTGGTAAGTGTCGACCCTAACTTCGGCGAAATAGTGACGAGGCTAGGACAAGACTACCAAATAAACTTGTGTAGTTAAAGCATATACGACAAGAAATAATAATGGAAACTAGTAGTTAAAGATGCGAAGGGGAACATGCTGCGGGGGAATATCAAATACCAACAGTGACTCAAGAGAAAATCATAAAGAATATTTTAAGGTTTGCATCAGTAAGAATAAGGAAACAGTAACAAATCTATATCCACTTTTATTATTTATTGTTGCGGCGCGCAACTCGATCCAAATCACATAACACTGTTGCGGCGTGAAATCCGATCCAATCATATATCATTGTTGCAGCGTGCAACCCGATCCAATCATATATCATTGTTGCATCGTGCAACCAGATCCAATCATATATCATTGTTGCGGCGTGCAACCCGATCCAATCATATATCATTGTTGCATCGTGCAACCAGATCCAATCATATATCATTGTTGCGGCGTGCAACCCGATCCAATCATATATCATGGTTGCGGCGTGCAACCCGACCTCTCATGTCCTCCCTTATTACTCCATATTGTGGTGTGCAACCCGATCCCATATAATATTATTGCGGCGTGCAACCCGATCCAATATACAATTCAACATCAATCACAAATGAACCCCGGCAAGGGAACAATAAGGAACAACAATGTCCCGACAAGGGAATCAACTATGAGAATAAGCACATCCCGGCAAGGGAACCAACAATAAGAGCTAAATACGTCCCGGCAAAGGAATTAGCTATAACCAAGCTTATACCAACATTTAACTTCACAAATGAAACCTTAACTGGAACCAATACTCAACAACAATCATATACCACGAGGAGAATCATAATTCTTGCCCAACACGGAGAATCAACAACTTAGACATTTGTAGTATTTATCAAAAACACAATGATTATAATTTAAGACTCATGGGCATGCTTGACAATGACGTATGGATACTCGTCACCACACCTATACACCATACACTACACTAGCACATAGCAATTAACGCACAATACTTATTCCCTCAAGCTAAGGTTAGACCAAACACTTACCTCAATGCTACGAACACAATTCAAGCCTCAACTATCGATTTACCTCTTGTTTTCACCACCAATTCGCTTGTATCTAGCCACAATTTACTTGATGATATCCATAAATGCTAAATGAACCAATTCTAATGCATGAAAATAGGTTTTCTAAAGAATTTCCCAAAAAGTCAAAAATCGACCCTGGGCCCACATGGTCAAAACCCGAGGTTCGAACCAAAACCCGATTATCCATTCACCCACGAACTCAAATATATAATTTTTTTTGAAATCGGGCCTCAAATCGAGGTCCAAATCCCCAAAATTTNTCGAACCAAAACCCGATTATCCATTCACCCACGAACTCAAATATATAATTTATTTTGAAATCGGACCTCAAATCGAGGTCCAAATCTCCAAAATTTGAAAATCCTAAGTTCTACCCAAAACACCCAATTTCCCCCATGAAAACCCTTGATTTTGAGTTGAAATCATGTGAAAAGATGTTATAGATTAAAGAAAATGAGTTATAAATGGCTTACAATCGATTTGGAGAAGAACTTTTCTTTGGAAAATCACCCAAGAGAGCTTAGGGTTTGAGGAAGTTTGAAAAATGAAGAAAAGTCCCAATTAACTGGTCGCAATTGCGACATCGCAAATGTGAACAAGGCCCCGCATTTGCGAACCTGGGCATTTTTTGCTGACCTCTCAATTGCGAACAAATTGTCGCAATTGCGATACTGGGTATTTTCTGATGACTTCGCATTTGCAAAGGGTGGTTCGCAATTGCGAACACTGGCAGGCAAGACTTTCTTTGCAAATGCGATCAAGCCCTCGCAATTGGCAAGCCTGTTGGGCTCGCAATTGCGAAGCCTGGCCTCGCAATTGCGAGATCAGAGCCTGCAACAGCCATTTCCCTAAGTCCAAATTCACTCTGTGGCCTATCCAAAACTCACTCGGCCACTCGGGGCTCCAAACCAAACATGCACGCAAGTCTAAAATATCATACGGACTTGCTCCTGCAATCAAATCATCAAGATAACATCAACAACCATGAATCAAACCCCAAATTCATGAAATCATTCAAGAACATCAAAATTTCCAATTTCTCAACTATACGTCCGTTTTATACCAAACCAATTCCGATCTTTACCAAATTTTACAAATTCAACTTAATTACTATTTCAAACTTGTACCAGGCTCCGGAACCAAGATACGGGCCTGATACCATCAAGAAAATGCATCAATTCACTTCTAAAAATCTTTATATTTTCTAGAAAATAATTTTCTTTAAAAATTCATTTCTCGGGCTTGGGACCTCGGAATTCGATTCCGGGCATACGCCCAAGTCCCATATTTTACTACGGACCCTACGAGACCGTCGAATCACGGGTCCGGGTCCGTTTACAAAGAATGTTGACCAAAGTCAACTTTATTCAATTTTAAAAACTAAATTTCCATATTTTACTTAGTTTTCACATAAAAGCTTTCCGAAAACGGTCCGGACTAAGCACGCAAATCGAGGTGAGACAAAAAATAAGTTTTTAAGGCCTTTGAACACATAATTTACTTGTAACACCGTTTGGGTCATCACATGTGTACTACGTGTGGCTAGAGAGGATTCATAGAATATTCCAGAACCAAGTGAAGCCAGTAGAAATTTCTTTTCGATTGATCATTCAAGAGGTCTATTTTCGAGCGAGCTTGTCCTCTAAGTTGGATGCCTACATGCAAAAGTTGAACTACAACTACTATCCTGTATAGAATGTGGTTCCAAATAGAATTTGACTAGCTTGAAGATGTGTGACACACTAGAAGATTAGTTTTGAGGCATGTAGAGCTGGAGCCTATCTACTTAGCCTACTGCTGTTTCTTTGTGTAATTATTTGGAGCTGTAAATATGCCACAATTTTAATATATAAAATACGATAATTTGATCAAAATAAAGTAAATTATATAAATTAAATTGAAAGGAGTAATACTTGGTACTATGTAATAAAAAATGGCCGATCAAGAAAAGAAAAAAGAGTTTCTGAAGTTTTATTGCTTCTCTTATCGATGACATTCTTTTTCTTGTTTTCTATGCCCTACAACACGGTGGCAATTCTTAGAGACAGATGGCAGATGAATCAAAGCTGCGACCTATCCCTTAGGCCCCATGACTGTCCTTGGCAGGACATCGAACGTCGGCTGTATATATTGGAAAATCCAGGGGCTAGTTTCGTGATTTCAGTAGAGGAAACCTCGGATAACGAACAGAGAGGGCGGATCACGTAATAAAAGGGAAACGACAAGGGCAAATTGCAACTGGACTCCGTCCAAATGAGTTTTAAGCAAGTTGATAATCCCACTTGCAGAGAAGCCAGCGTAAGCGCTGTGCTTTAATATTGTCTTTAAGAGTTTTTTCTCCGAGGAAATCACAACTTGACAAAGATTTATCTATATTCCCTTTTCTCTCTCTACATATATATGCACTTTTGTATTGATATATATATCTCCAATAATCTGCATTTTACTCATTTATGTATGATCTCCATTCTCACCTCTTTTTATTCAAGAAGAGAAGAGAAAGGATGCCTTCTTCACTTCAGCTGCATAGAATCAACACAAGCACCGCCACATCCACCGCCACACTCGCCGGAAACTACCGCAAGCAACAATCGCAATCACAGCCTACATGGATCACTCCTGTTTCCGTTTCTGTCCCTGACTACGTAATGCATTATCACACCCACGTTGTGGGTCCCAATCAGTGTTGCTCCGCCGTTGTACAAGCCGTCTCCGCCCCAACCGACATCGTGTGGTCCCTCGTCCGCCGCTTCGATAACCCGCAAGCATACAAGCACTTTCTTAAAAGCTGCCACGTCATCGACGGCGATGGGAACGTCGGTAGTTTAAGAGAAGTTCGCGTTGTTTCTGGACTTCCCGCGGCTTCTAGTACGGAGAGGTTGGAGATTTTAGACGATGAAAAACATGTGCTCAGCTTTAGCGTCGTCGGCGGCGATCATCGGCTTAACAATTACCGATCGGTGACGACGCTGCACACGGCGGATGATGACGAGAATATGACTATGGTGGTGGAGTCGTACGAGGTTGATGTTCCACAAGGGAATACGAAGGAAGAAACATGCATTTTTGTGGATACAATTGTGCGGTGCAATTTGCAATCGCTGGCGCAGATCGCAGAAAACTTGGCTAAAAGAAAGAGTAAATTAACTACTCATGACTAATTATGTGTTTTTAAATTTGTGTACATTTTCTCTCTTTTAATTTAGGTTTGTTTGTTGTTTTGAGCTGTTAGTTTTGAATGATGGATAGAGTTTTTGTTATTATTGTAGATCATGAAGACCCAGAACTGAAAATTCATAGATTGGTAGATTTCGAAGACTGTAAGGTTGGTTCTTGGAATTGTTACAACGTCGTAGTTTGATAATATTCTACTCTACTATATGTGAATACTTGGTTGTCACCATCACATAAATTACTCTCAGTTACTATTTTATTTTTTTATTTTCTTGTTCTTTCTTTCTTATGTTTGCTTAGGAGTACCTCCAAAGTTCATAACATATCTTGGGAATTCCCAAATCTGGTTAATTGTTTTTTCCGTCCTGTTAACTTATGGTTATTTGTAATAATGCATTTGAAAAATCAAATAGAAGGTGCATTTTTGTGTATTTTACCAATTTACTATTTTTCTTCCCCTCATATTTGTTAAATTAAATTGTAACTTACATAATAAGGTTGTAACCTTTATCAAAAAATGATGCGGTTAAGAAGAGTACAGTGGAATTGTTTGCTAGAAATTTATTTTGGCTTTAATTGTTTTGGTGATTTTTTTTCTCTTCGCTTGACGGTGGAGAAAGATGGGATAAGATTTCTGGTTTTTAACTTCCTTGTAGACCTCAAATTAGGAAACAGTTTTGAAATTAGATCGGTAAATTCCTGCTTTACAAATCAAAGATAAAGTGTAGTTTTTTGCTCCTTGAACAAAATGGAGTAGTAATATATTTTAGTAGGAAGCAAAATGTAACCGACCCTCGGAAAATCCAAAAGGATAATTACACTCACTAACTAGAAAATGAAAAACTTTAGAATAATTCAGTACATATCCACTCTCGTAGGCAACCAGGGTTATTTTATTGACACCTTGAACGAATGTCCATTATTCATTTCCAAATGGTCTAGTTTAACTTTTATTTTCTCAACCAACATTATGGTGAAGGGCTCCCCAGTTGCATTATTTTATTTTTGATGATAAATAAAATTGATGGCTTCTGAACAATGAACCTGCTGGTGAAATGGAAACGACATTTTAATATACTCTTAATGTTCTTTTTATAATAGCAAATGGTCTCATCGGAGAGTTTCCGTATTAGGGCTAGGGCACATGTTCGAGAAAAGTCGAACTAGTGCATTAGTTGACCAGAGAAATAGAAACAAGGATAAAAGATTAATAGGCCATAAAAAAAGTGTTTTTTTTTCCTTTCTAAAAGCATTTTTTTTTCTAATTTGAGGTGTTTGGCCAAGCTTATTTGGGAAAAAAAGTGCTTTTGGGAAGAAGCAAAAGCAGTTTCAGAGAAGCAGAAAAAAGTAACTTCTTTTCAAAAGCAGAAGCGGCTTTTTTTCTTACCTAAAATACCCTTAACAAAATATAGTATATACCAAAATAACTCTTAAACCTAATATTTAGGATATTAATTTATAAATATTTCTTCTTATTTTTAGGGAACTTTCTAATATATAGTGACTTTGACTTTAGGGGTGAATGCTTTTATATTTGTTGAAGGAATTTTAATATATTTAACTTATATTAAAAGAATTAAGTACTTTTTAATTTTATTTTTATATTTACTTAAATAAAATGAATTATTTTTTTAATTATTGCATGTAATAACAAAATTTTGATATTATTTATTTACTTATAATATTAATTATTAAGTAAATCTATTCATGTCCTTATTCTTAATTTGACACTTAAAAGTACTTTCTAAAAAGCTTAGAAAACACAAATTATTTCTCAAAAGTGTTTTTAAGACTGATTAGCCAAACACAAATTGATTCTCTTCAAAAGTACTTTTTTCAAAAGCACTTCTCAAAATAAGCTGATTTCTCCAACTTGGCCAAACAGGCTATAAGTCTTTGCATAAAAAAGAATTTAAATAGTGATAGAAGTTAAACACTAGTACTCCTAAATACTATCTAAACAATTTATGTGATGCTTTTTTCGGTTACCCAATCTAAAAAAATGATGTATTTTTATACTCCATTTAGAAATTATTTAATTTTAAATTTTTTATTTTTCTGAATATGATAATTTATAGCCACAATTTTTAAAAAAAACTATTTTAGACTATATCATATAAATTGGGAAATAGGAAAGAAAGAGTACTAGTCTTTGTGATTGAAGAATCTACAGGCTGCAGCTTTCAACCAAACAGCTGCGCTGTGCTATCAACTTGATACTATTTGTAACCAACTTGCTATTTAGAAGAAAAAGCAAGTTGTGGTTTTGTTTTTCCTAATTTTCTTTAGGGATTTTCCTCCACTCCCTTTTTGTATAATAATATTTTATGTTGTTGTTCAACAAAGCAATAAGTCTGATGGAAACTTTGCAAGTTGGTTTGCAAGTGGGAAAGGAGGCCTTTATTGAATCTTAATTAGTAGGCTATTATTTAAATATTTTTTAAATAGTTTTCAAGCTCTGATCATACGACTGTCCATACTGTTTCCTTTTCTTATGTCTTAAGGTCATCACAGACTGTTCGGCCCCTTATACATCACGACAAGTCAGTTTCTACACACTTCCTATATATACCTGAGCCACCTAACTAATTTTTGCTTTGCCGTTTTTTAGTTTTGGTAAATGAAGTGTTTAACATATGTTATTTGTGGTTGAAATTCTTTCTTGCCATTAGCAACACTACGATCCTCAAGATGGAGTTGATTCTAATATGTTTTAGGTGAGAAGTAGGAGGGGTGGAGTTAGAAGACACGAAGGGGTTCCGTTGAGTCACTTCTTTTGGGTATAATTTAATTTTTATTACTACGTAAACACTATGTACAAGGAAAAAACAAACGGAAATTGGACACTCATCCCAGCTTCAGATCACATCCCTATATATACTACCATCAGACTAGCCAAATTATGTTTCATTCAATATATAGAGGGGAAATTTGGCGTAACTGGTAAAGTTGCCTCCATTTAATCAGGAGGTCACGGGTTCGAGCTGTGAAAACAGCCTCTTGCAGAAATGCAGAGGAAGGTTGCGTATGATAGACTCTTGTGGTTCGGCCCTTTCCCGAACCCCGCGCATAGCGGGAGGTTACTGCACTAGGCTGCCCTTTTTATATATTTCATTCATATACAGCACGTTCTAAGGATAGAAGTTGAGGCGGTTTTTCTGAAAAATCACAATGTGCGTATAAGTTTAAAACATTTGTTTCAGTCATAAGTGTATATATATAAAAGTATATTATTCAGTATTCTTGACACAAGACAAACTTGTAGTGTAGCAGTAAAGGCTGTCAAATAAAATAAAAATTGCTTTAGCTGGTAGGCTGGAGTCACGTATGGCACTTTAATATTATTTCGAATTTCATTGTTAGAATTTATAATTTTTGGCTTCGTCATTAAATAGTAGGCATCTTAGCGTTTGTGTTTTAATATGATACGACTTTTGGCGTTATGAATCAAGACTCAAAATTTAAATGCGGATCAAAAGTAATTTGTTTCTCCTTTTTCTTTCCCTTTTTGTCGTATTTGTTTCTCCTTGATCTGTCTAGCTAATCAAAATTAGGAAATGCAATTGCCGGCAACTCTATCTAGATTTGGTACTTAAGACTTGGGAGTAGTCTTATACTCTTATTTATTAGGTTTCTATCGAGCATATGGATAACGAGAAGTAATTGTTTAGACCTTACCACTTCTTTCTTTTGGACTATGGAGAGGACATATAAATGTGTACTCCCATTTTATTTACTCACTGTTTTCAATTTATGTGAACCTATTTCCATTTCAGCCCATGTCGAAAAGAATGACCGTTTTCCCTATTTTGAAACAATTTACCTCTATACAATGATTTATAGTCACACAAAACATGTGCGTCTTAACCACAAGTTCAAAAGTCTTCTCTTTTCTTAAAATCCGTGTTCAGTCAAACAAGTTCACATAATTTGAAACGGAGAGAGTAATATAATTTGAGGTGAGAGTAGAAGGAAGAAAGGAATTTTTTGAAACTTATAGTCTAAAACAAGTAATAGATATTTATGTGACTATCAGTCATCTTATTAATCAGTCATCTTATTAAGGTAAAATAAGAAATTTGAAGTTCACTTATTTTTAAATAGAGAAAAGTGAGTACTATCATTCATTTAGGGACATACTAAAAAAAATCACTTCACATAAAGGGGCTAGGGAGTAGTTTATAGCTTTGTTCGACAAAGTGCCTTTATTATTTATAGGTGTATACATCTTGTTCCGCATTATAGTATGAGCTACGAACAATAGGTAAGAGTAAGAATCTAATTAACATTCGGTTAATGGTAATTAAGTATGGTTGAAATCTCTGAGTTCGCTAAGCTGATACAATTTGTAGTAGTCTAGTTGATGAGAAAAGCAAAATAGCCATGCATGCATATATAGTACGATTTCAGTAGTTAAATAGTTAACACATAGAATTTGCTAGCGCCCCCATAAATAAAGCTAGAAGTTTCTAGAGTAATGTAACAAAAAATAAGAAGCCGTAGAAATCATCAATTATACAAAATGGGGTGTACTAATTGATATCCTACTGTAAACCTGATGTACCATCTCTTCACACCGTTTTGTCATAGTAAATATTCTCAATGTTGATAAAAAATACCATATGAAGTAAGGTAAAGAAAGAATATCTCCAATTACGTGCATTTTAGATTTGAAAATGACAACAAATAATAGTTTACTCCAAATTAAAGTCAAGTAATTTAATTTCTGGAAATTTAGTCGATAGGAAAATGCGAAAAACCCATTTTATGAAGTAGACGTTTCAATAGTTTAAGGAAAACTTATGATAATCCAATGCTCTTTTGTGCATTTTGATGATTCCAGAAAAACAAAGAAGTTCGGTGAACTACATCAAATATTTACTTTGCCTTGTTGACGCCAGTATGGAGTCATTTCTGCAGTACTTTTACGTAAAAATCGAAAGAAATAGAGAGAAATTTAGAGATGAGATCATACGATTGCTCGATACATTTCTCAACTTACATATAACTAACAGATCGTTATAGAGATCTTAGACTTGTTTGTTGGTTACAATGAAAGTATTTTTCAAAACCAACTTTTCCCACGAAATTCCAGGAAGACAGATAAACAGTAGGAAACTATGTTAGAGAAAACATAAAGGCATTTGTCACGACTCGGATTTCCCACCCTCGGGAGTCGTGATAGCACCTACTAGTGAAAGCTAGGCAAGCCGATTAGTTCAATTATTTAACCATTTTCAGTTATATCCCTAAGCAATTTCAAAACAACATAACATAAGCAGCGGAAATAATGATAACAAAAGCAGTGCGGAAGACGAAATGTGATAATTTAAATTAATACAAACTATGGAAGTCTAAGTACAACTCTACCCAGAATTTGGTGTCACAATGTCACGGACCATCTATGAATACTACAAATAAAGTCTGAATAGAA